CCTCGTACTTAATTTGGGGATTTTCAAGAAATACAAATGAACATAAAATGCGTTTTTCTTAGGTTTTTATTATTTTTTATATTAAAAATTATATATTTATGTATTTATAATCTATTGAAAAATAACTAAATTAGTTTTATGACACTATTATTTATAAATACATATTGATATTGATTTAGCCCAATAAAAGTTATAATATTTTATATATTTAGTTTTTATTAAGTTGACATTTAGGTTTGACGTTATTTTAACATTTATTACAATATTATGCAAAACCTGCGGCAGCAAACTATTCCAAAAATAATAATTAAACAGTTTCTATGCAAAACAAGATGCGTTAGGTAGAAAATTAAAAAACAGTATTTAATTGTCAATACCTTAAGTATACAATAAATATACATATAACTCGTAATTGAATTTGTCTCTAAGGGTTAGTTAGTTTTGTACGCAGTTAAGTTATGGAACACTAAAAAAATGTTTTGTGAGTATCTGTGGTTTACAGAGTATCATTAAAATTATTATTATTATGACTATTATTATTGCGATAAAATGTCTGGATGTAGAAAGGCGGTATAAGCGGCGCGTCTGGTTATAGTAAGGATAATTTTATCATATATTATATATGTATTATATGCGCATGTTCGTAATAATAATTTGTTGTATTCGTACATATAAATTATTACTTGGATAGAAAACTTAGACTTGGTATTCGAATGTTTTTCGGGACGGAACAGGGTGGAACGTGGTGTTTTCTTTTCCTCCTAGTCTGGTATCCACCACAACCCAACTTCACTACTCAGGGTTAAAACGGTTTGAGCTGTATACCTATTATATTATAAGTGAGTTGTGGGGGGTCGTGTTTAAAACAACTTTTATTTTTTTATTTCCTAGAATCAAATAACGTATTTCCATCACCGTACTTAGATTCAATAAAAAATATTTCTGTTACAAAATATTCAGTGAAGTTGTCACTAAAATATGCCTACAATTCGCCACCATTCACTTTGAAGATGCAAATATTCAGATACTAAGGCTGCAGGTGACCATGTACTTATTATTGTATAATGGAATAATATGACTGCCGCCCTCGTGTCTGGTTACTAACGAACGGATGAAAACGACCCCAACGAGCCAATCGAAGACTCCATCAGGGGAGGACCGGCCGACCGGATCACCGTTCACTCCCTCGGTCGTTCGAACAATGGTCCGGAAACGTGACCGGTCCCATAACTTTGGTATATTTATATCTATACCGGGTCGAAATAACGAGTTTCAATTAAATTATTCGATGGCTAATAATTAACGTTTAACGATCCATAAGCACGTACGCTATGTTATTATACGCAGTAAATGTGTCAAGTAGAAAATAAAGCAACGAGGAGTATAACCCTTACACAATAAAATATATTGTATAATAAATGTCAAAATCGGGTAAAAAATATAGGAATCATCTCATATAGGCCAGTTGTTGTAGGACGTGATAATATATATAATAATATATAATAATATATACGTTGTTATGTGTCATGTGTATAATTATAGATAAAGTTAAAAATTCAAACATCATCATCGATCGTATCATACGATCAATTAAAATATCATAATATGAACCTTTTCGTCCGTCGCTATTAGAATAAAATAGTTCACCTAATTATCGACTGCGGTAGGTGGTAGTTAAACCACGGTATTTTTCTTAATGATTTTTGATTGCTCGTAGTTATTTACAAACGGTTAAATTGTATCGCAAAATACGACAGACATTGTATTGATAGATATTGGATTTTTATTTGCTATTTTTCCGCGATACGAACCCACCTACCTGGAAATGACATGGAAAAACGACCACGGCTCTAAAACACCACTACAATCATTTACACATGAGACCGTGAATCACAGAAATTCGTTTAATTATAATCTAATTATGTCCAAAAAATCTTGCTCCTTTTACCACTACATCCGTCTACCATACAAATATACTTTCAGTAAGGATAAGCTAAATAATACATTCTGCATCGTTAAAATTTGATGGAAAATCAAAGATTATCATAATTATAAAAATCCTACCAATAATTTGTATAGAGATCATAAATAATTCCTATTTGATTATGAAGTACCCAAAAATCTGGAAATAATAAATAGTATAATAAAACGATATTGTATTTAACACATCATTTTTTAAATTTAGTTAAATATCTATTTCAATAGTACATTATTTAAGTTTATTATATTAGCGTTGATAATAAAAAATAAAATTTAATCATTTTAGTTTTAATTGTTCTAGTTCAATTATATATTGTATTAATTAAATAACTACGATAAAATCATTTTGAGATTTCAATTAAATTTTTTTACCGTCGATAAAGAGAATAGTCCAGATCTATAAAATAGTAAATATAATAAAATATATGATAAGATATATTGATTAAATTAAGTTAATTGGATTATAATCTATTTTATTAGTGATTTAGATGGACGAAAAATTTAATAGTATCCCTAGCTATTATGAAGCTGGCTAACATTATTAGCACGACAATAATTAATTCGTATGTCCATTGTCCATAATGTGTTGTTAAAACGTTCTAAAAGTATGTACTAACTTTGAGTCAGTTAACGGATTCTTTTTAAATATTTGCATAATGTTACTCTCAAAAAATATTAAGCACTTATAATATATACTATAGGTACCTACTAAAAGGACGAATAAAGCAATTAAAAAATAACGAGCGCAATTAAAAATTCAAATCAACGTGATAACTTTACAATATTGTAATTAAATATTTTTCCAGATAATGTTAATGTGCTTTCTAGGTACTCGTATTATTTTTCAATTTTTAACTCGTACCTTTAAACATTATTCATGACGCATAAGGTTAAGGATATAGGTAAAAACTAAAACATATTAATTCTATTGGCGTTGTTATAGGATATTATAAATAACATCCATAAAAATAGAATGAAAAATCCCAACGACTAATATTTTGTATATAATTTCAAAATTGGCATCATACCATCTATCAGTGTCGTGTTCAGTACGAATATCGTTATGTCATATATTTGTTTAATTAAAAAAATAATAAACTGTAAGTGAAAACGCGTGGGCATTGAAAATAATACTATATGATATTGAGATAGGTATACACATTACACAATACACATAATATAAACGTGCAGCAGAGATTTTATGTTCCCAAATTCAATATTTTAATGTAAACAATGAATACAAGAATAAATTTTTTTCATGTGTTTTAAAAATAAAAATAAATTTTTTTAAATAAAATTTAGACAAAACTCACCCCAGACAGAAGTAATTGCGCTTACGTAACAGGTACGGCCGTCGGGCGCGAATCGGGGGGTGGTCCGGCGGCGGTGGTGAAAGTGGTCGGCTGCGGCGATGGTGGTCGTCAGACGCGATCAGACCCGTCACTACTACTACAATTGTTGTACTATACTACAACTTACTGCCGCCGACGCCGCCGCTGTCGTCCGACCACCACTAAAAACCCCACCGCGACCGTGGGGGGGGGGGGAATGGGGCAGGCACAGCGGCCGTCGTCTGGTGCGACGGGTGTCGGCGCTTGCGCGCCAAAATTGCGTCGCGGGCCCTCCTGTTGCACTCCCGCGGGGACGGTTTTTGAATCTCGCGGGCCTTTGCGGGGCCACCGCCGTTGACGCTGCCACCGCCGCCGCATTCGTGCCGATCGCCTTACGCGTGCGTGTTGGGCCGCTCGGCGCATGCGCGGCCGCGTTCAATACATCGCTTGGGCGGGGGGGGGGGGTGAGGGGAAGGCGATATAGGCGGCGGTGGACGGACCGATCCACCGTGGACGAGGTGAGCGCGATGGTGAGTGGAGAGTTTGGTGCGACGTGTGTGTGTTTTAGAAAATCCGCGGCAGCGGCACCACACGAGGCGCGCTCAGTCCAGACACGCGGGCGCGTCTGCAGCAGGACGCCGACCGGTTTTTCCGAGACGCGACTGTTGCTGCACCGTGCCGTCCGACGGACAGACTTTCGGACGACCTTGCTCCTCTCCCCCCTCCCCTTCCAACGGTCCAGACGTTAAATTTCAGAATTCCGATATCACGCACTTACGGACCTGATTTTACGATTGAATCCGCAACCGATTATCATATTATCTTTCAAATAAAATATTATTTTTTGTTCGTATGTTGGTGTGAACTTTTTCCTAACCTATCAATTATAAATATTGTAATATAATCTGAACAATATTGATTAATGAACTAAGTTATTATATTTTTATTCTTATGTTATGTATCTTAAATGCATTTAAATACACGGCCTACTTCTTCCCGTTCACTTGCTACTAGTAGTGGGAGAATCTAGAAGTGATCGATGTGGTGGGATGGACCATTAAAATATAAAAATATAAATACATAGAAGTCATACTATGTGAGTACAAAATAAATGGACAGTCGATACTTTAAAAAGTGATAATCCGTAAACATAATAATAAAAAACATAGTAATAAATAATAATACTAAGTATTGTAATCACTGTTAGAGACTTGTAATATGTTGGATAAGTCAAGTCCTATATTATATGTGAATACTGCGACTGGTACGTAACCGCTATAAGAGATTGATTTAAATGTCAAGAGGTTGATTTTGATTTCGTAAGGTCTATGGAGTTATCTAGAGGAGTGTGGGGCATAGCAAACATTTTTTCAAAATGTTCACTCTAGTGCTCCAGCCCATCAGTTCCCAACCTTTTTATATCTGTATACCACTTACACAGCTTGCAAATTTTTATGTTCCACTTGGCCAAACAACCTTTTTTTGCCTTATCAAAATCGTTTATGTTATTTTACATGCATAGAATTTTATTTTATTAGGAACTACAAAATTATGACAATACAAACATTTAATGCATAAAATATAATAAATATGTACAATTAATATTTAAATTATTTTAATATCAAATAATAACCAAATAATTTTTAATGTGTATAGTGTAAACTGATTAATTGTATTTTTTTTATAAAGGGAGATTTTCTTCGATTACCACCATGAGTTCTCTACATACCACATGTGGTACGCGTACCACAGCATAAGAAACGCTGCTCTAGCCTATACGCGCATTGGACCGTTTGAAAATTATGCACAGACAATTCCGATTTCACGCTGTGACCCCCGGGTTGCACATATGTTTTGTTGTTCGTCGTCAAGGGGTAAGTAATCTTGGAATCTTAGATTTTACTTAATATTCTAAATCATATCACTTGCAAGAGTATTAGGAGGATTACGAGTTAAATTGAATGCGAGCTATTATTATTGTATACATCAGATATATTTTTTTTATTATTTTAGAACAAACAAGAATATCTTATAATATATATATAATATGTCATAACAATCAATAAAATAGGTAATATTAGGAAAGGGGGGGGGGGTCCAATTACTCTATTCAAATTCTAGGTGGTTTTTGTTTATTGTGTACAATATCAAACATATTAATTTAAAGGTATATTATGTATTATACAATATCATACTATAATCAGTGTGCTCAGATTTTAATTTTGTGCGAATTTATTATTTGTTGTTAGAACGCGAAATCACTTTTTTAAATTATTCATGTGATATTACTTTTATGTAAGTACCTAACAGAAAATAAAATCTTAACCACTTTTTAAATCGTTTTATCAATTTTTAAAACGAAATAAAATAATAATTACACTTAAAATAACTTTCATTTTTCATATTTATAACGTGAGCTAATTTTATTATTTATTTTCATACAGAAATCATTAATCAACATTTTATAAATTAACATGAAATTTAAAATGCGAGTGGTCTTAAGACTTCTACAACTACAAATATAATTCTACATGATACATTTTTGTCTAATAATTAAAACTTTTGAAGTAAACACTTATTCCATAATTATATGTGATCATCACAAACAATTTACTTAAAATTTAATATGATATATCATGACATCAAATTATTTTAAAATAAACGTTTTATTGTAAATACGATAACATAAATGCAAATTATTTGTATTCACATACTATAGTGTAGGTAATTACTTCTGTCTTGCTATGTGTCGAATTTGAAATTACTTAAAAAATATTTTAATGTGGTATGGATTATAATGCAACGTAACATAATACAATAATATTAATGACTTAAGAAGACGGTAGAAATTTGAATTTATAAATGTAACTTTCATTCTTTATTTGTATTTGATAAAAGTTAAAGTAAAAAAGATTTGTTATATAGCTGTTCAAACGAAAAAAAAACATACTACATATGACTATAAAAATATGAACTAGTAAATTAAATTGTATAGGAATTTATTACAAGTTTTCATCAAATGCAGAAAATCATTAAAATTGATAATATTAAATCTACTGCTAGTACCATAAAAAAATGGGTGAAATAAAATCTAATTACGTGTTAAATTTAATAATAAAAGTTTTTATATATTATATATAAATGATACACGTCTAACGTCTTATAATATTGTTATTTTGTAACAACTAGAACTCGGATTTTGTCAGTATACTTATTTAGTTTTGTTAAGAATCTAAATTATATCTTTTCAAATAAACCATATTAATTTTATTATTTAGATCGTTGTTAACATTTATGACCAGAAGAATAAAAAGTTTAAATGTTTTGAATAATTTTTTAATTAAATTGTGACAAATAAACTCTGGTACTTAAAGAAATTAAAAAAAAAAATGTTCAGTAACAGAACTGCATCAGAGAGTTTCTGATAATATTTCATAGTAAATTCTATGTATATATAATGTTATTATGTTGATCATTAATGCGTTTATCTGTTTATGTTTTTGTTTAATAATAATTATATTTTAATTGTTTGAAAAAAAATGTTCTTGAATAAATTTTAAATCTTCAGAGGAACGATGAATGTATTAATTTTATAATGCTGTTAATTTTTTCTCTTCGTTATCGCATTTTCGGGAAATGCTTTGATTTTCAACTTTAGGGGTTGTTTTTGGTAATGAATTGGATCTAAATAGAATATAGGGAATCTAAAGTAAAAATATTACAGTACGTTTCTTTATAAGCAAACACAGAAAAAAATGCAGAAAAACGTGAATTTCTGCGCAAAACCTGCTTTTGATGAAATCGATATTGTTTTTTTGTTAGTGTAACTAAAAAACGAATAACAGTACTTAATAAATAGTTAATTTTGTAAATAACCTTGGGATGGATACTAGATAATATTAATTGTTATAGTGAAGTTACCTTAATTCTATATTCAATTTTATAAAATAACGTTAAACTGCAAACAACAAACATTCAAACTAACCAGTTATGAGAGGACAATTACAGCTGTATGTTTTTTTTAGTCCTCTAAGAATTTTCAGATAGTTATTTTACAAAACTAAATTAGGTTTATTTGGAAAATTATGATTATCCAACCGATCTATATGTCAACATTTTATGAATGTTTTGTAATGGTAAAAATATAATTTTTCATTTTATTTGTCGTGATAATTTCTACCTATCGAGTTACTTGTTTAGGATTGAAGTGACATGGAGTAGTCTATAAATAATATATACTTATATTATAATTTATCGTTTTAAAAATCAATTTATAAATGTTATTATCATATTATACACTATGTAAAGGCTGTCAGCCAATGGCCTGGGCACCAAATCTCATATTTAAAAAATGACCAATTTAAATAGTCGGACTGCAAGAGAGCCCAATTCGTATTGTTTGAAGGTGATGACCACACAGCGAACCACAAAAGACAATGCCACATAAATGGAAATTTTCTTTGTGGCATGACTCACTTGTATTTGCTCATGTAGATAAAGTAAATCCACATAATGTAATTTCTAAACCTTATACAAATATGTTTACCATCGTCAGTTCTGGAACCTACAACATCAATATTGATGAACCAAATACCTAATACATATCTCAGTTTTTAACCATCATAGACCATATTTTGTGAAAACATTCAAAACCTGTGTCTTAAAAAAAATCATAATTTAGTATATTTGCTCTATAACGTGATGTTGTAACTTGTAATATTATAATACAAGATCGTTGTATTGAGTGTGTCATATAGAGTTGATGGGAGTACACGTCATTTGGGAGTCACCTTTTCGAGTCAATATTATTAAACCTAAATTACATTTCGACGAGTGTAAATCTGACAAAAATTTTAGCGCATGTCAATACGGTGCGTTTTTATTTTTTATTTTATTATTAACCCCATTAATGTGTTGGAAACTTTCGATTACATCACTTCTGTCTTTGTTGCCGTTCATATCGTTAGTTAATGTGTAACGCGCCATCGCATCACAGAAATATCATAATACACATTTCACAATATTGTCACCTTAAACCTTTATTAAATAATATAACGTCTGATAGTGAGTATTTATCATGAGAGACTTACGAAGCTAAAGAATAAAAATATCATTGGAGCAAGTAAAAAGTCAACGAGGTATACCGATGTACTTTTTTTAATTTATTTCTTTAGAAGCAACATCATTGAAATATTCATAGATGTTTTAAAAAGAGATCACAGCAGCTTAACTGAAATGTTAAAGGAACAATTATTACTTGCCAGATACAAAACAAAAGAAGAAATATAAAGATTTGCTAAACAGAATTCTTTACATAATGTTGTTGGTAATATACAAAACATCTCAACCGATGAAGAATTACGTTATACGGTATTTATCACGATCGAATAAACAAAAACCATGTAAAATATTTCACCTAATATTTTGTATTTTTAATAAAATAACAATATTAAAATACAATTTGAATTGAATGCGTTGATATTAGTGCGTCCAAATCATACAACTTACTTTAGCTTAACGTGTCTACCATTATTTTTAAAATGGATGTAAAATATTATGTGTTACACTGCATCCTTATGGTAGCATCTCAGAAAAAACTGAGTGATAAAATTTTAGATTTATTATCACTATGGGGACTATTATTATTTTAAAATTAATAGCACAACTTTGCTACTACGTTTTAAAATAACATGTTGGTTTTAACTTTTAAGAGTGATAAAAATAATATTTATTATTATAAATCATAACTCTTAATAAATTACGACGGGGTAAATAATTACACTCCCCAAACAAAATGTAATATAGTTTACAATTTGAAAATTGACTGCACATGTTTATGTTTATACATAAAAAAAAAAATGAAGTACTTATTGATTAGCGATTTACCAAAAAAAAAAAATGCTGAATACGTCATGTTTTCATGATCAGAAGGTAGTAGTAGTGGGTAATTTGTATGCTGAATTAACTATGAATTTCTTTATTAGTTTGCAGTGATGTTTTATAAATTATAAATATATGCATTATTAACTTCTTGACACAATATTAAGTTGACCAGAATTTACTATCGAACTTTTGAATGGATGTTAGGTACCTTAATAACTCCTTTAACGTTCCAAGCGGAAACCTCAGGTATTTGTTAAACAGTATACGTACAGGCTCACTCGTCTGTTATTTATTTATTTTTTTATCAAAATCTTAAATATTTTATACAAGCCTTTTGAATTTATAGATGTTGTCAATCGGACTCATTCCTATACATTTTAAATTCAAAAAGGTAGAAAAAAAACTTTTTACTGCACGCTTCGATCTGTAAATAGTAGTGGCTTGTCATAATGGTTAAATCTTTGTTGTAAATTATAATATAAGACTTTTGATTTTGTGTATCGGTGTAATTAGCTATCGTTCTCATGTAACTCAACCACTGACCAGTTGGCTAGCTATTGTTATAATAGGTAGGTACCCTATCCAACCACAAATACTCATCATTCATATAGCCCCTTTCATAATATTACACAGCTCCATGTGTACCACTCACTCCAGCGGTTTTTTATTATATTATATCATAAATAACTATAATAGGCATAAAATACAGGCATTCCCATGAAGGTAGTTAGGGTTTATACACCCCCCTTCCCCTCATGGACCCATAATCCCCTGTATTTGTGTCTTTGGTGCCTACGATAAGCCTACGATTAATTTAAATGTATAATTACTTATAGCACCTCTCCCCCCCATTTTAATTTCTTGAGAACGCCACTGAATACATGTGTATACCGAGTGTAAACGATTTTTATGCTACTTCACCAATTTGTTAAGACTGATAAAAATGTCGAAGGTATATATAATAATATGCAAAATATATCAATCAAGTACA